GTTATCCTTTTAACAAATTACCTTTATTGAAGAGAGCAAAATTTCTTGAAGATTAATTGAAGCCAAAGAAAAAAGGAAAGAGGGGGGAAAAATGCCAAACCACAGTCAGGAGGACTCTTTTCCAGATGCCTGCGCTCTCCCGGGTTTACCCCTCACTGGGTCCTGTGCTGGAGATGAATAGTACAGCTGGGGCAGCTCTGCCATTTCAGCAATATTTGGATAGCTACCGAGATGAGCTGATAGATTGTGTGAACTCGGCCATTTATCCCCCCTCAAGTGGCCCATGATTTTTTTAAAGATTTTATTTATTTATTCATGAGAGACACACAGAGGCAGAGGCAGAAGGAGAGGAGAAGCAGGCTCCCTGCAGGGAGCCCGATGCGGGACTCGATCCTAGGACCCGGGAATCACGCCCTGAACCAAAGGCAGACCTCAACCACCGAGCCTCCCAGGTACCCTTGGCCCGTGATTTTGTCCATTTCACATACGTCACATCCCCCTCATCTTGGAGACGTCGTGCCACCACAGCAAGATATGAAGGCAGGGCGCTGGGGAAAACACTGAAGCGGGTTGGCAGGAACCACACTGACAAGGTCAGCAGGTGGCAGGCGCTGGGTGGGTGGCTGGGGCGGGGGATGATGGTCGTGCTGGCTACAGCCTGCACGGAAGGGTCAGTGGGGAGGGATACACCAGCACTTGCCCGGGATAGGAAGGTAACTGATTCAGTGTTTGTTTCCTGACCCACAGAGCTCAGCCCGTCCATCAGGTCAGTGTAGCACGCCCATGTTTCTCCAGGGCATTTTTTAAAAAAAGATTTATTTATTCATTCATTCATTCATGATAGACGGGGCGGGGCGAAGCAGGCTCCATGCTAGGAGCCCGGCGCGGGACTCGATCTGGGGACTCCAGGGTTGCGCCCTGGGCCAAAGGCAGGTGCTAAACCACTGAGCCACCCAGGGATCCCCTCTCCAGGGCATTAATGAGGGACCATTTATCTTCTCTCCGTCCCGCTGATGAGGAAACAGAGCAACTTCTGTTCCTCTAACAAATCTCTCTGAGCATGTGCTGCAGGAGACATCGCAGCCTGATGTCTGGCCTGGTGGGAGGGACAGAGAGGAGGTGGCACAGCATTTAAAAGCCCAGGCTTTGAGGCAGATGGACCTAAGGTCAATTCCCAGCTCTCTTCTAGGGGACCCTCTTTCCCCTGCCCTTCCCTGGGTGGTCTCACTAGCAGGGACAGAGATGTCCTCCCAAGCCAAGACTCGCTGTGGTACACAGGAAGGGACAGCTTTGGGAACAGACAGGCCTGGGTATGGATTTGGTCTAGACCCTCACAGCTGGGTGGATTCATCAGCTTAGCTGGAGGACTGACATGTGACTCAGTGCTACTCTGGTGGCAGGAGACAAAAGCCCATCTCAAGCCAGCTTAAGCCAAAGAGAAAATGCATTGTGTCTTGTCACCCAACTGCGGAAGGGACTGGCATTTCAGAGGAGTGATTTGTGTCCTCTGTTTCTCTGTGACTGTCCTCTCTGGTTGCCTCTGTGTTGGCTTCATTCTCCCAAACGGGCTGACTCTGGTGCCAGGGATCCTGGCTCTTGGTGGCTCTGGGCTTACAGACTGCCAGCGCCATCACCTAAGGAAAACAGATTTCTTTGTCCTAGCTTTGATCTGTAGGAGTGGGCCATGTGCCCTTCCCTGGAGTGGTCAAGCCGTCACTGGCTGGTGGGAGGGACGATGTAATTGGCCCTGCCAAGGTTAGGGTGAGTAAGGTCGGTTAATAATAATAATTTTTTTAAAAGGTGGTGCTTTGAAGGTGCAAACAGTATCATGACAGCCCATCACTTCACTCCAAAGAGGACACGTGTACGTACATATGCATGTACACTCTCACCGTTGTTTAATTTTGTCTAGCACGATCCACTATCTCAGATATAGCCAAATGCCCCTGCCCTCACCCTTAGGTGAGACCATCCAGAGCCACAGCACATGAAACTTCAAGCCCAGCATATCGGAGCATTAGCGTTTCTCCCCATCACGTCTCAATGTGGCTCTTAATGATCCTGGGCCAAGAGGAAGAGGTCCCTCCCCACAAATAAAACGAGTGAGGACAGACCTGGGTTTAAAATTTACGAGAGAAACTTACAGGATGTAGGAACTTGGGCAGATTTCAAAGCTTCTGATTCTACTTAGAAAAGATGAAAAACAGAAGTGGTGACCAGTCAGAACATATACCAGATGCCAAAATGCACTCCCTTCTAGGGCAGGCAGGTGTAATTTTCATTAGGATCAGTTTCCTCACCTATAAAATGGGTTAATGAGAAGCATCTGAGGGTGTGAATTTAAAAAATGCTAAGCAAAGTTAGCCAGAGAAAGACCTATACATATGATTTCACTCCTACATAGAATTTCAGAAACAAAACAAAGGAAAAAAGGTGAGAAAAACCAAGAAACCAACCCTTAGCTATAGAGAACAAACTGATGGTGACCAGAGGGGATTGGGGGGGGGTGGATGGGGGAAATTGGTGATGGGGATTAAGAGTACACTCATGATGAGCACTGAGTAATGTACAGAATTGCTGAATCACTGTATTGTATACCAGAAACTAATATAACACTGTACGTTAACTATACTGGAAAATATATTTTTTAAGATTATTTATTCATGAGAGACACACAGAGAGGCAGAGACATAGGCAGAGGGAGAAGCAGGCTCCATGCAGGGAGCCCGATGTGGGACTTGATCCTGGGACTCCAGGATCACAACCTGAGCGGAAGGCAGACGCTCAACCACTGAGCCACCCAGGTGCCTCTGGACTTAAAAGTTTAAAAAGTTTTAAAAATTTAAAGAAATGGCCCATCATAGATAGCATATAGTAGGTGCTCAGTACATGCCGCCCTATGCAATCTTTTGATCTGACAACAAAGACTTCCTGCTGCCAAAATAACCTTTTCCCCCTTCCTCTCTCCCTCCTCCCACCCCCCTTTTTTTCCCCTCCTGCCCTGCTCCCTGTACAATACATCCCAGGACACTGTCCCTCAGGGAACTATCGAGGCCGAGTTGGTGTGATGCCCTTGCCAGAGGGTCTGCCTCTCCCGGCTCGGGTGCGAACTGCACCGATGCCCCTGTCATGAGGCCAGGACTCCCTCTGTGACAGGAAGGACCCGCGTTGTAGAACAAGCAGTGACAGGATGTGGGCTTCTCCAGGGCGGTCACCATGTGATGCACCTGCTCCAGGGAAGCAATCTTTCTTTTAAAGGACAGCTCTTAGTCTTATAAAAGAAACTCAGAGTGATCAGGACAAGGCCTATCTCCTGATAGGGGCTGACAGATTCTGCACTTAGTGGGCTGGCATTGGGGGGCACGATGCTTGGGAAGGAGCCTACGCTCACTTTTAGACCCTGTTCACCGCAGGCGAGGGGGGCCCAAGCCCACGGCTGAAACAGACGGCGGGTCCGCCAGGGAACGTGACCAGGTGGCCTATAGTATCTTCCTCAATTATTCTCTGCAACGGCTGGCTACACCCTCCAGATACTTCCAAGGGGAGAAATGGAAAGGGCGCTGGTTTGGGTGATCCCCTAGACCTGGGTTTAAATCTTTCTCTGCCCCCAGTGAGCCCCTGGTTTTAGGCCAGCCACTTGACCTCTGTGGGCCTGTTCGGTTATCCGAGAGCATGAACTTGCCGATGCTCCCCACTTCACTTGGTCCTTGCAAGGATCTCTGGAATCCAGAAGAAGTAAGTGGTGGTTCAGAACATTGGCTCTGCAGCCACATCACCTGGGGTCCACCCTGGCTCCCCGTGGACCAGCTGTGTTTCCTTGGGCAAGTGACTTGACGCCTCTGGGCCTCGGCTTCCTTTTCTTTATAGAGTGGGAATATTAGTACTTGTAAGGTCATTGTAAGGATTCAGTGAGACAGTATGTGCAAACTGCTTAGCAAAGCACATGTCCCAATTATAAGAACATACAGGGGGAAAAACACTTGCATAAACTGTAAAACATGGTCATCACGTGTGAGAAGTACTATTTACCATGAAGTACAGGAACATGTTTACTACTTTAAGAAAACTTTGTGTATGGTTTACAATTGTTTTTTTTTTAAAGATTTTATTTATTTATTCATGAGGGACATAGAGAGGCAGAGACACAGGCAGAGGGCGAAGCAAGCTCCATGCAGGAAGCCTGATGTGGGACTCGATCCTGGGACTCTGGGGTCATGCCCTGAGCCAAAGGCAGACGCTCAACCACTCAGCCACCCAGGCGTCCCTACAATTGTTTTTTTTTTCCTACAATTGGTTTTTATAAATAATTCAAAAATTTTTGGATGAAAGCACTCACCCTGGCCCATATATGTAGGCAAACTGTAAAGTACCTGCAGGTGCTGTGAATGGCCGGATTCAGGTTGCACTCATTTTACGTTTGTGCCAATCATGTGCAAGACGCTATGGTAGAAACATTTACACCGATCATTCCATTCTGATCTCACTGGGTTAGTGTTTTCATGCCCACTGTGAAGGACACTAAACCCTAGAGAGATAACACCGGCCCAAACTCACTAGGCCAGTGCCTAGAAGTAACCAAAGTAGGAAGAGAATCTAGCCTTTGGGGTATCCAAGACCACATGTCCAAGGAAAGGTAAGTATCTTAAGGCAGCTTGTAGAAATAACACGCTATTAGCTGTGTAAGCTCTTCAGAGCCGTCTTCATATGGGTTGCATCTGCATGGTGCTTCCTGAGTGCTCCATTGTCCCCATAGAGCCCAGGGGCTTGGCCTTAGCCTTGGCCACAGAAGGGTTCCTTCCTCCCCTGTTGGCCTCTGCTGCCCTTACGGGTCTGGGGTCTGCTAGCCCACATGACCTTCAGTCTCTCGTTTCTGCTTTGCTGTTAGAGCTGGTACCAAAAGGTCAAGGCCACACAGCCAGAGGGACACTGGTTGCCACTGGTTTGCAAACCCTTCTCTGCTTTGTCCTCAGCCAGATCTGACTTTTCTCCTCTTCCCAAAGCCAAGTACATCGGCTGCTACCTGGATGACACCCAGAGCCGAGCCCTGCGAGGCGTGTCCTTTTTCGACTACAAAAAGATGACCATCTTCCGTTGCCAGGACAACTGTGCGGAACGGTAGGGCCCTGACGTCCCACGCTCCATTCATTTCAGCCTCCTTCCTTCTGTGGTGTTCTTCCCTTTTCCACGGAAGGGCGTAGTGGAGAATGAGCACGTGGCCACAAGGAGAGGGTGAGGTAGCTGTGTGTGCGTGTGCACATGCGAGTGCAGGATGGTTCTCGAGTTGGCCTGCTGGAGTTTGTGATCGTGTCCTCATGTGACCCCTGGGCCTAGGTGTGAGTGTGTTTGTACCATGTGCAGCGTCGGCAGGTCACGTCTGTAAGCTTAATGTTCATACGTCGTAATCTTTAAATAGTGGTTGTGTGTACAGGAGACTCTGAATCTGTGTGCAAGGGTCCACACTTGGGCTCATGTGTGGGAAAGGCCTTTAGGTGTGACTCTGTGTGAGGGAGGCTTGTATGACATCCATGGGACGTCTCCCAGGGAGAAACTATCACCTGAATCTACAGTGTTTTCCAGTTGAAGGAGACAGTGATGTTCTTGATTAGAACACACGCTGGGGGAGGGAGCTGACTTTCCAATGGTGGGCGAGGCCCCAGAGGACTGGCACATGGAGACGGGACCCTCAGTTCAGGCTTGGGCCCCAGCATTGCCGCCTTGACCTGGGGTGGCTTGTGAAGGTGGCCTGCCAACATGCCCACCTTCAGGACTCTAGCTGCCTGGCTCCGAGGTCACAAACTCTGAAGACCTCAGCTGCATGGCTGTAATGGAAATGACCACGTGTGTGCCCGAGGGACTCCTCCCTCTGTCTTTAATTAGGAGAAACACCGTCCTCTTTATAAGTCTCTCCCCAAGCCCAGGGCCCTCTCCAACTTGAGAAAGACTTTGAGTCCTTGATGATATCGATTCATTAATGTACCAAACTGTGGAGAGACATAGGTGAGGTCCACAGAGTTCATGGCCCCGTGGAGTCACAGCGTTGACGAGGAGACAGACCTGTAAGCAGAAGAGGGCCTTGTAGTGGGATGAGAGTCCAGACGTAATGAATCGCAGACTGTGGAAATGCAGAAGAGGCCCCCGACCTGCCTGGGGTGTCAGGAAAGACTCAGAAGAGGGGGATAGGCAAGGTGAGCTTCAGAGGATGAGTCAGACGGACTCACGTAATCCACTTCAGCAAATATTTATTGCTGCCCACAGGGTGTCTGGGTGCTGGCGATGCAGAGATGAGTCACCCACAGCCCTGCCTTCCGGGGGCTCCCCCGCCAGCTAGGAAGACTGAGGCAGCAACAGGCTTGAGCAGTAGAAGAGCAGGAGCTTACACATGGTGGCCTTTTGCTCCCTGCCAGGCACTGTTCTCAGCACTTTGCAAATATGAACTCTTATCCCCCACAAGACCCCCAAGGGGCAGAAACGTTATGATCCACATTCCACAGATGAGGAAACCAGAGTGTAGAGACCTCAAGGATGACGGGTGCTGGGCAGAGTGTGCTGTCTAGAGTACAGGGGGCTTGTGGAGGTTGATGGAATGGAGGGCTCCAGAAGAGTTACAAAGGTGAGATCTTGAGTTGAGTTTTGAAGGGTGAATAGGAGTTTTCTGGGTAGTCAAAGGACAGAAAGAACAGCGTGTATGAAGACCAGAACTCCTGAAACATCCTCAACGCCCAGCATCTCAGGTGGGCAGGGTAGGGATGCACAGAAAGTCCAATGGGAGTTGTCGGGAGGGAGGGGAAGCTGCGGGGCTGGCTCATGCCTGCGGACACAGAGTCTTGAATGCCATCTAAAGCATCTGGACTGGCCACGGACAAGGGGGAACTGCTGGAGGGCGTTAATCAGGGGATTGGTGGACATTCATTCAACAAATACTCATTAAACACTTTTTGCCAGGTGTTGAAAGGATGAGGTAGGTTGCGGGGACCAGATAATCTAGGACAGAGGTCTTCAGCCTAGGGTGAATATCTGCGTTACCTGGAATCTTATAGATTGCTGGATTCCATTCCCCCCTTTTTTTTTCCATTCCCATTTTCTGATTGAGCAGGTTGGGGCTGTGAGAATTTGCATTTTTTGTGAGTTCCGAAACAGAGACCATACGGACTCTGTGGGTTCTGGGTGCATGGTTGGAGCGCTGCTGCTCTGATTTTCACATGCAGCTACACATTAGAATCACAGGGCCGATTAAATTAGACTCTCTGGAAGTGGGAACCAGGTGTGGCATTTAAAAAATGTTCCCCAGGTGATCCTCATAGCTGTCCATGTTCAAGAACCACTGATAGGAGGGTTTGTAGGTTGAACCAAGCCATCTGGAAGCTTCTCTGTGTGCAGTGGAAGCCCCTGGGGGCAGGGGTGGTTTAGAGAGTGGAGAGGTGTGATCTGTTTTAATTCTGGAAAGATTCTTCTGGCAAAGGCCACAGCAGGGACATCAGGATTAACAGCCCGAAGCCCTCCCAGAGACCACTGGAGACCCTAACGACAGCAAGGCTGACTCCATTTCCTATTCTGTTAAGTCATCCATCGCTGGGCAATAAATTATCCCCAAATATAGCGTCTTACACCAGCAGACATTTATCATCTCACAGTGTTTGAGTGCCAGAAACTGTGATCCGGGAGTAAGATTAGCCAGGTGATTCTGCCTCAGTGTCCCCAGGAGCTCGTGGCCAAAATACGGCAGGGACTGTAGCCATCTGAGGGTATGGACATGTCTGGAGGATCCCCTTCTGAGACAGGCACTCCCAGCTGGCACCCGTGGGTCCTCACTGAATGGACGAGTCCTTACCCCACGGATGTGTCCTCACCGCATGGACGTGTCCTCACTGCATGGATGTGTCCACAAGGCCTGCTTGTGTGTCCTCCCATGGCAGCTGTTCTCTGCCCTCCCTGCTGTGCACCATCCAAGGGAGGGAGCAAGGAGGAGGCTACCACTTTCTCTGGAACCAGAACACCCACTGGAAGGGTTTTTTTTTTTTTCTTTTCTCCTTGGGAAATGTTCCTTGTATCATGAGAGGGCCCAGGGCACCCCAGAACCCAGAATTCAGAGAGACAGGAAAACTGAGACAAGGTAGACGGAGGACAGGCTGGCCCAGCTCCAGGGTTTCAGTGGGGTTCAGGCACCCAAGATGCCCATTTAGTTTAAGCTGGTCATGCTGCATCTGCCTGGGTGAGCTTGAGCAGAGGATGGCAGGTGGCACCTGGGCTGCGGAAGTGTGTGGAGGCATGACTCTGCGCTGGTCCGTTGGTCCATCTCTCCCGTGTCCCTTGGGTGTCCAGAGTGAAGACTTGAGCTGACTGCTCCCCCTTGGGCCTGCCCTACATGGCCAGGGTTCTGCAGGCTGCTGTCCCACGGCCTTCCTGGTTCTGGAGAATGCCTCAGAGGCAAGAGGGCTGAGCCAGGCTTGTCCTAACCCCCTCCTTCTGTCCCCAGCCCCTGTAGCCAGAGCAGGCAATGTCTCATTTGTTTATAGAATAGGTGTCTACCGAGAATCCTCTTTAGGAAACAGTCCCATGGTTATGGAAAAAAAAAAGTTGAAAACCTTGCAGTGCCTGGATTTTTGTTTGTTTGTTTTGTTTTAGGGGAAGGAATTTTTTCCTTAGCTGGATGTGACCTTGGTTTTGCCATCTTCCAAGGGGATCTGAGAGTTCCTGCCTCCTCCCTTTGTTCCAGCTCTTCTCAAGGGGCATGGAGGCATCATCCCTATGGGATGTTTCCTGGAATAAAGGGGCTGGACTCTACAGATAGAGTTAGTGCGGCTCTACACTGATGGAGCAAGAGAATGGGTTAGAACAGAGGGACCCCAGGCTCCGAGGTGTGTGTGTTGTCAAGTGTGCCATGTGTTGAAGTGTATAAGGTGGGTGTCCGTAGGACACGGTGTGGCCACGTGGGTAGGTGTACGGGGATGAAGGCCGGGGGTGGTCCCTGGGGGGTCCTGAACCCCAGAGTCCTCCCACCTCCTTTGAATCTCCCAGTCCCGGGGTCTGCATGGTGGCAGCTGCCCCCGCCTGATCGCAGCCTTCCCCAGGGGTTACCTGTACGCCGGGCTGGAGTTCGGTGCCGAGTGCTACTGTGGCCACAAGATCCAGGCAACAAATGTGAGCGAGGCCGAGTGTGACATGGGGTGCAAAGGCGAGCGCGGCAGCGTGTGCGGCGGCGCCAACCGCCTCTCCGTCTACCGGCTGCAACTGGCCCAGGAGTCTGCGCGCAGGTGTACGTGAGTCTGCCCCTGCCCCCGCCCCTGCCACCCCCCTCGCGCTCCGCCGCGCCCTCTCCGCGCCCTCTCCGGTGTGCTGCTCCCTGCCCTGCACCTTCCGTGGCTCCCCAGAACCCCTGCAGCCCAGCCCCACCCCAACTTCCACCACAGCCCTTGGAGTCTTCTGCTCCAGCTACTTTGAGTGTTTCCCCCCACCCCCGCCGGTGTCCTCTCCCTCCCACTCCGAGCTGCCTCCTGTGCCAGCTACGTCCCTCCTCCTCCCGTCTTCCTCCCTGACACAGTGAGCTACAGCCTGAGCCCGAGGGCCTTCGTGATGTTCTGAAAGCATATTGCTGTAACGGTGATGCAGACAAGGATGATGACCATACTGATGGCTAGAGCAGGCACTTGGTCTTTTTTTTTTTAAGATTTTATTTATTTATTCATGAGAGACAGAGAGAGAGGCAGAGACAAAAGCAGAGGGAGAAGCAGGCTCCCCGTGGGAGGCCATGTGGGACTCCATCCCAGGACCATGGGATCAGGACCTGAGCCAAAGGTAGACACTCAACCACTGAGCCACCTAGACATCCCCACTTGGTCCTTTTTCTAAGTGCCTTATGCGGAGTAGTGCATCCTCACAGTGACCCTAGAAGTAGGCACTGTTATTCTCTTGCTCCCATTTTATAGACTGAGAAACTGAAGGTCTGTGTCACATTAGCCACAGAGGATTTAAACCAACTCCTGAGCCTACGTCTTTAATGCTCCCAGGGATGGAATTTCTTTCTTGCTTGTCAATGCTTCCGTTTTGTTGCAAAAACTCTCCAGTTTTCACATGGAGGGAGGGAGATGAGCAGGAGAGCATGAGCGCTGGCCCATCTTCTGCAGACATTGTCACACTGTCCCCCCTCCGGGTGCTTAGTAACAGTTAATGTCTGTTGAGCAAGAATCTGCCATGTGCCAGGCACTGTGCCAAGCCTGCTAGGGCCCAATTCCATATCCCTTCTCTACAGCCTCTTCAGGCGGTTATCAGTGTTAATTTTGCACTGGGGAAACTGAGGCATACCGAGTTTAAGTAAACCTGCCCAAGGTCACCTAGTCTATTGAAAGGTGACCACAAACCTATGAAAATTGCTAATGGCCTTGACAAAAGATGGAGAGCAGGGTTTCTCCCAGTTACCCTTCTCATGCAGTGCCAGGGCAGGGACAGGAACCCACAACCACATCTCTGACCCTTGGGCTAGTGCTTCCCAAATTTGAATGTGCCCCTGAACCCAGTGGAGATGTTGTTACTATGCAGATTCTGTTTCCGGGGGTCAGGGTGAGATTTTGCATTTCTGAGGAGCTCCCAGGTGATGCTAGGTGGCTGGGACCAGGGACCACGCTTTGAATAATAAGGCCTCAGACCTCAGTGGAGCTGACACGGTCTGCCCAGAATGTTCATCCACCCACACAGGCAGGGTTTGCCTGTCTGCCATGGGAGTGCCATTGTTTATAAAAATTCATTATTGGTTTGCTTGGTAATGTGTTCTGGTTTCCAAATCTTGTGCTTCGGAAGCCCTGTTCAAGGTTTGCTCTGCAGTGGGGTTGAGCGTGCTGCCAATTTGCAAAAGTGCTGATTTGCTGCAAGTGGCTGCACCGTCTACCACCCCAGAGTCATCTCAGTTTACCCGGGGCCAAAGTCCTGGCTGGCAGCAGGCACAGGTGGTGTGTGAAATCCAGGCTGGAGAATGTCCACACAGTGAGTCTCTGGTTTAGCCGTTAGCGTAATGAGGTTTTAATTTGATGGCAGATTTACCATGCTCACACAGATCCCTTTATGCCAATATTTATGTTATTTGATGGTGACTTTGACTATCTGAAGAGATGGCCTTAGAGTCATGGGTATTTAGTGAGAAAGCTGTTGCCACTACAACATCCTCATGGATGAGGATGAGCTGGATAACAAGAATTAGGCCATGTAGGTCATTAGCCAGATATTAGCCAGACCTCCTTTTGGTTAATGTTCAGATTGCCTGGATAATCTGGACATATTCCTCCCCCCAACACTGGCGCTTATGGTCTCTCTCCCTCTTTCACATACACACACACTATTGTGCTCACCTGTTATGAATGACACTGTCACAGACCATCAAAGATTTTTCTTTTTTAAACAATTTATTTATTTATTCATGATAGACATCGAGAGAGAAAGAGACAGACAGACACACACACACACAGAGAGAGAGAGAGAGAGAGAGAGAGAGGCAGAGACACAGGCAAAGGGAGAAGCAGGCTCCATACTGGGAGCCCGACACGGGACTAGATCCCGGGACTCCAGGTTCACGCCCAGGGCCAAAGGCAGGCACCAAACCGCTGAGCCACCCAGGGATCCCCAAGATTTTTCAATCAGCTGAAATATACAAGCCTCAGCACAAAAAGACCTTAGATTCTGTAAAATAGGATGTGTCTTGCCCCTGTAGCTATAGTAGGGTTGGGTGGATTGTGAGAGACAGCCCCTGAGGCTAGCACAGATGCTGCTGTACCCCTTAGCTTACCCACTTCTGCAGTAGCAAAATTACCTGGATGGTGTTTTGTTCCATGTGAGAAAGGAGTCTTTTGTATTGCTGTCCAGGAGGGGAACATAGTCCTGTCTACTGAAGGTGGAGTCGCGGATTCTCTAAGGCCACACGTTGCCCTTCTACCAGGTTTGAAGCTTGGGCACTCTCAGCTGGAGCCTCCAGAAGAAAATTGAAGCCTTATTAATCTCAAGACTGAGTCAAGAATGGAAGTGGCTTGGATAAGGAGATGGATGGTTGATGATGTGTCAGATTGACACTCCTAGTGGGCTCCCAGTTGGCAACATGGTATCTGGAGAGAGCATGGGGACCATTGTTGAACTAGAAACTTGATGAGCACCCATATGAATTAGGCATGGCGAGGCTGAGTGGAGAATGAAACACAGTCCCTGTCCTCTGGGTGTCACCATCCAGTAGAGAAACAGATCCAACACCAGTGGGATCTGTTCTAGCCTGGGGGTATGTGTTAGGGGGTTGCAGGGACTCTGTCAGCAGGAACCAGTGGAGCACCATTTGAGCTGAATCTCATTCTAAGGAGATTTCCGGGTGAAAGGGAGAGCCCTATGAACAAAAAGTACAGGGTCAGCAAAGATCATATGTTGAGTACCCTGTTGGAAGCACCTTCCTTCCTGATGTCCCATCTTACAGCTTTAGAGACTGAAGCCCAGAGAACACAAAGGCCTGAGTTGAACAGCTGTGGGGGAGGCTTCACAGATGAGAGCTGTTTGATTAGGGCCTTGAAAGATGCATAGGATTTTGCCTGGAGTAGGAGAGGATATCCAGACTCACGTTGCCAAGGGGTGGGAGAGAAATCTAGGCAGAGGGAATGAGTATGCCAAAGCCTAAATGTGAATTTGGGAAATGATCAACAAGCATGATTTTTCCGAGGCCACAATGCTTCTTAGGGACTGGGCATGGGCTGGAACCCAGCCCCTGACTCCTAGTTTGGGTGCCGTGGACACCTTGACCTCTCATATTGGATTCTGGACCTCATCTTCTCTCTTTTGGGAGAACTCTTTGTATCTAGCTTACCTCCTCCTTTCCCTGACCTCTGACCTCTCCTCCTGCTCTGTATGCTGAATCCAAGCAAAACAGAATCGCCAGCATCTTTGCTCTGACCCTGTGGCACCTTTGGCTTCCCATTTCTAGATCTGATTTATACACAAATAAATCAGAAAGGGAGGCCTTCCAAGTCACTGGCACACAACACTAGGCAGGGAAATGGGCAAACACCAGGAAACAGGTATGGTGGAAACCAGACTTAATTTGTAAAGTTATTAGTTGGTATTAACACTGTGTCCTAATTGTGTTTCCCTGAGCAGTGGCACAGAATTCTTAACAATTGGAAAGATCTAAAGGAGGCTTATCTCCAAGCACCACTCTGGTTGGGCGTATGCCTTGCGTAGGGAGGCAGCCCACGTGTTCCTCCGGTGATGGTATGCTCCTACAGTAGTGAGAGCATTAAAAGGTTGGCAGAGCAAATGTCTGCAGGCACCCCGCTATTCTTCCTTGACACAGACTCTCAGGCACATGGACTCTTTGCTCTTATTACAAAAGAACCAAGAAATGGACTTCCTTCTTGGTTGGATTACATTTTTCACAGAAGTTTGCTAAATCTGTCAGCAAGTGTAGCTCTCCTCCCAGGGGCAGAGACCTGCCAGTGATTTGAGGATATTAAGGCTTTGCAGGATGTTGCAGGAGATTTCATTTGCCTGGAAGATTCTTGCAAGATTTTGTGTTAAAGGTTTTCTTAGAACTACATTGAACCCCTGTTGGGTGGCTGTCCGTGGTGCTGACCATCCTTTATTGCTTCCTAAAACCTCCAGGACTGCAGACAGAGCAGCTTTTCCTCCTGTGTTTTGTTTTCTATCTTGGTAGAAGTATTGTGAAGTATTACAAAGTATTATTATGGTGGGTGTATTGTGTGATCATGGAAAAAATAGATCCTTGACTTACAGTTCACAATTCACATGGCATATTTTGTGTACTGTGAATTTTGGCAATTTGCTGCCTTTGAAAGTTAGAAGGGGAGTTTTGTGTAGGGCTCATGTCATGCTCTTTGATCACTCCATTCCAGCCACTTCTCTCAAGGGCAGCCACAGATGATAGTGGAAAGTCACACTGGATGGGCAGAACATCCCTCGCTCCTCCTTTGCCAGTTCTAGAGGTCTCTCCTTCCCCCTTGTTATGTGTCTTGGACTCCTGAATTTTATAATTTATATTGGTCTTCATAGTTCTGTGTAGAGTCAAGGAGATGATAGCTAGAAAAATTTTCTTTCGCATCGTGATGGAGGAGAATTGGTTTGCTCTCACCCCCTCAGCAAAGTCCACAGAGGCCATGGAGACAATGTGGGTTTTTTTTAAATTTTATTTATTTATTCATAGAGATGCAGAGAGAGAGAGAGGCAGAGTCACAGGCAGAGGGAGAATCAGGCTCCATGCAGAGAGCCTGACGTGGGACT